CTTTTCCTCCATTCAATTTTCATTCTTTATATATGAAATAATTATGCAAAATGTTCTGGAAAGAAAACCCTCTGTGGATTGCCTCTATTCAAACAGGCATTTTAAAACAAAAGGTACCCTATCTGCCAGACTACACTTACAGCACGCCATTGCCTACCAGGAACTTACAAAACTTTTAGCTTCTAAGATGTTTCTCAGCTTTATATGACATCCTGTGCGCACAAAAATGCATATAGGCCATGAACACTACCTTGTTTTAAACAAAGACTGTGAGGTTTTTAAGTTAACAGCATCGCTATGCAAGGCCTGTTGCTGGAGTGCGTTTTGGATGCCTTCACAAACAGTGCACGTGCTGAGTGACATACACACTAGATACGTGTCAGTCTATGTTAACACCAAGGCTTTTCCAAGCACAGCTGGTTATTTTGAGAGCCTTTGGGATTTTTGAATGCTCAGTGGGGAAAGCATTTAAGGCTCTGAGGGTGTATTTAGCAGGGAGGATCATCAGTCATGTTCTGAAGTACGAGTGACTGGTGTGTGCTCTCTGCTTCCAGACCCTCAGCAGTACCTGCAAGCAGCCTACCCATCTGAGCCTTGTGTGTAGCAAAGAAACCAGTGCAGTGATTGTAGTGTAGAAGAAGCTAAAATAAATTAGAAATTTTTATGTATCTGTGTGTATTGCTTCACTGCTATTGACCCGGGATGGAAGAAAACATTCTCCCTTTCTTTCCTAAGGTATCATTTTCAAGCTGCCTTCAAGTCATAGCAGCCCTCAGCACGCTCTCCCTCCGGTGCTCAATTACACCATCCGAATGAGCAGCAGGATTACTCAAACCACCAACAGAATAAGGGAGCGGATCTGGACAGTGGGCCCGCACAATTCAACCTCGCAGAGCCAGATTTACAGCCGGGCCTTTATCTATATCCAGGACAGTATTGAACGATCCATTATTGAATTACAGACCGGGAAGAAGCTGGAGGATGTAGCTGTTCAAGTCCAGGCCATGCCTTACCCCTGCTATAATAAGGATATGTAAGTTTATGTGACTTTTTGTCCTCATGTTTGAATTGAATGGTGACTGTGGGTTTTACCCAGGTGAAATTTGCTGTCCCTGCTTCATGTGTTGTAGAACTGACCTGATCTGGACTCAGGTTAAAGATATGACTGTTGACTTCTACTGTGGGTGTTTACGTGTTGACAGAACAACAGAATGAGAAAATGAATTTATCGAGCGAAAAAGAGGCCCTGAGTTTATGAACTCTGTTCCTTGATACTGCTACATAGTTGTGGTATTTGTTATTCATTCCAGCAGTGGCAGCTAATATTCAGTATGTGGTGAATAGTTCTCAATGCAGGTGCCTCTCACAGATGCATCAAGAACATTAGGAGGGAAGATGAAATTGTACCATTCTTCTCCGGAGATGGAGGAAGACCAAGGAGCTTTTGATGCACTGAGTTGTCAGGGTTCACAGGCTATTATATAGAGCATTGCAGCGTGAATGGTGTGTGGACCAGAATAAGTTTTGAATGATAAAACAGTTCAAAAATTTTGGATTATCTTCCTTTCCACTCATCTTGAGCCAGATCTGCAGCTCGTATAAGCTGTACCTCTGCCAAATGCAAATAGAGAAGCCAGTATCTCACAGCTGAGGACCAGCCCCTCTGGCAAGACCATTTTTGTTGGCATTGGAAACCTGGCAGCATGGGTCTTCCTCCAAGTTACTACCCTGACCACAGCCGGTGATCAAACCGGGTAGAAAATGCACCAGGAAGGAATTTCATGTCCATTACAAAGCATTGAAGGATGTAGTGGTGGGGGGATAATCATGCCACAACTGATGGTCTTGCTCGGACCAGGAGTACAGGCTCAGCCTGGGAGCTCTTTCTACTGAAAAGTCTGCATGTCTCCTGTGTGAGCTAAAAGCAGGAGCTGTAGCAGACACATTAACTTCATGTCTCGTCCTATCACTTAGGAGAGCTGGGGGCCTGTAATCTTTTGGTAAGGTAACTGCATACAAAGTGCCTGCCACTTTATTGTTCTTCTAAGTATACAGGCAGTAGGCATTCAAACCAAATGTCAACTGCTTGCAGCAAATATATCGGTTATTGCTATGAGATACTTTCAATTGTGATTAACTGGCTGCCAGGGCCAGGTAATACAAGGATATCTGCTCCCTGTCTTGTTCCTGAGCTGCTAAAAAAACAGCTTGCCTTTGGGATATCCTCCCTCCCCCAGGTTCAGAGGGACATGAATTTGCTCAATTATTAAAATACGTAAAGGCTTTGAAATTGCATCTCTGAGAAGTCATTGTAAAATGGACTTCTATTGATCGTTATTGCATAGTTGCCATCCTCTAGGGAGATGATAAAATGTCGTATACCACTGTGCAGAAGGTGTGGGGAAATGCTAAATTTTTAATAGCCTAGAGATCATGCACAAGGTCCTAGTCAAAAAAAAAAGTAGAGTTAGCGAAATGCCTTTTTACTGTTTGTTTTAAATATGGATTCATTTGTACAGAAGGCTTTCCTCAAAGCACTGCTTTGGGGAAAATTTTCAGTTTTTCAGAGAGAAAATTATGAAACCCCAAAGTTCATTTTTTACTGTTACTGCACATTAAACTTTTCCCAGGAAATAACACTGATATTTGTTTAAAGCCAGAGCTAGAAATAAAGAAGGGAAGAATAAGCCCTGTAGATAAAATGAAGTGAATCTCCTGCTGTAAAAACACACTTTCCATCACAGAAGGAGGATTTTACTGTTCGCCGTTCTTATTTCTTTTCTCTGGGCTCGTTCAGCATGGGAGGAAGGTTTTTGTTTAAAGCCAGGAGCAGAGGACTGTGAAGTCCACCTTGCACATACGGAGGGGCAAATATGTCTCCCTGCTGGGCAGCACCTAAATCCTAACTCAAGGAACAAGATAATATGGCCCGATTAGAAATTTTTGGCCATTACATTTAGTGACAGAACTGGCTGTTGTAGTTTTTCAAACTGAGAGATGCTCCTCATCAGAGAGCCAGGAGATGTCTCTGCCCTGTGGCAGTTCCTGCTCCTGCGAGTGGTGGTACTGAGCAAAATTGCTTCCAGAATATTGCTGGAAATAACCACAGGCAGGGGCTTCATGAATGGAAAATTTAATTCAAGGGCAAAATAGCCTTTTTTTGTAATTATTAGTTATGCTCCATGTTTTGAAGTATAAGTGTTTCCTCTCCTGTGCCAAAGTATTATTCTGAAAAATATATTCACTATAAATCCTTAATCCTCCGAGCACTTAGTATTCCGCTAAAGACTGCGTTTGTCTTTTACAGGTTCTTAATCAGTGTGACCTACTCTCTTCCATTTGCTCTGATGGCTGCTTGGGTACTGTTTATAGCTGATTTTGTTAAAACACTTGTTCAAGAGAAAGATCTGAGGCTTTATGAGGTACGTTGAAGCTTTCTGTGGCACGCAAAATTATAAACAGGTTTTCCTTATTAGTGAATAGTACATCTCATGTGCAATATTAAATGGAGCAAAACGAGCATTAAGGAAAATGATATTCTGAATACCTATTGTTTGACCTGCTGCTTAAATTCTGACATTGTAAGCAAGTTTAAAACTAAAAATGCAGGATATTTGCCCTTAAAGTAGTGAGACTGTTACTTCATAGTTCTGAATACTAGAAACTTTGGGATGTCAGAAAATTGCAAGTTTGCTGAAGATAAAAAATCTCTCTAAAATTTATGTTGAATCATACCTACTGGGGGTGAAGACCTGCAAAGTAGACTTACTTCCTATCCTTGAAATTACTTTACTTAATATTTCAAAAGGTGCTGCATCTTATATCAACTCCTCTGAAATGGAGCTCTTGATTCAGCTTGCTATTGGAAAAGAAATGACATGGAGACAAATGGAATTTACTTAATTAATTCAGGTTTTCACTGTGAACAAAGTCAACAGAGATGAACAGCAAAGAACTTTTGTAAAACTAAGCTTAGGCAAGCAACAAAAGCTCGAGCAGATTTGTTTTTCATCTGGTGCCATGGAAACAAATGCTTGTTCACCAAAAAAAATTCAGAAGAAAAAGGGCACTCTGTGAACTATAATGAGATTAAAATGAACAAACCCCACCGGATAGTTGACAGCCGCTTTCCCTAGTTTTGTGAATCTAGTTTCATTGTCTCTAAGAATCAAGATGTCTGCAGTCATTTTATGTGTATAATAACCTACAACAAGACACTGGTAGTTATTGTTCCTTTGGGATTGTGCAATATAAATTTCTATTTCTACATAAATCTTACGGACTTGTTCATCAAATGATACAGATTAATATTGCTTCATTATAACCGTGCTAATTTATCTATTAATATCTTTTGGTGGGGATTAAATGTTTTTGTTTCAGAGATGTTTTTTTAGAAAGAGGTTTTTACCCTCAAACCACGCATTTCCATGCTATTATTTTGAAAGGTAACCAAAATGCTTTAGAGAAGCAACAAATGTAAGGCAGTTGTGTCTTTGGGGCTTGTGGGATGCAACAGTTTGTACTGTAGATCCTGTCTGTTTTGACCTTGACAGTGGGCTGTTTTGCAAGTGTAGGACGTGCCAGAAACGTGAGTGCTTGGTTTCTCCCTTGTCAGCATTATGGCACTATGCCAAAGTGTGAAAGTGTGTTTTGATTTTATGCCCTATCGAGATACTGAAAAGAGAAGAATGAAACAGTTCAATATCAGCAAAAAAGATACCTTAATAGTTGTTTGTGGTTCTTTCTTTCACCTTTCTCTATGCAGTACATGAAAATGATGGGCGTTAATGCCAGCAGCCACTTCATCGCCTGGTTCATAGAGTGTGCCATCTTCCTTTTAATCACTGTCACCTTCCTCGTCATCGTTCTGAAAGTAGGTGACATCCTTCCAAAAACAAACACAGCTCTCCTGTTCCTGTATCTTATGGACTACAGCCTCTCCATCATAGCCATGAGCTACTTCATTAGTGTTTTCTTCAACAACACCAACATAGCAGCCTTGGTGGGCAGTCTTGTATACATCCTCACCTTCTTCCCCTTCATAGTGTTGCTTGTCATTGAGAATCACTTGAGCTTCTCTGTGAAGAGCCTACTGGTAAGTTTTGCTTTTCGGTAACAAGGATCGTGTGTGTGAAAATGGACACTAACTTTCCATAAGATTCCATTCCTGTTATGATTTGTGTCACAAATATAATGAGTTTGATGCCTTTCTAAGCTCTAGGAGTGGGTGTCGACAAGTCATAGAATCACAGAATTGTTAAGCTTGGAAGGGACCTTTAGAGATCATCTAGTCCAACCCCTCTGCACATGCAGGGTCACCTGGCACAGCTAGGTGACAGGCGGGTGGTCTGCTGAAGGGAAACCTGGAATTAGTTGTTGTTGCATGACTGAAAGCCATGCTTGTGGCATTTTAATACATTACAACCTGTCAGCTGAGTCCGAGTAGCTTGACCTGTGTATGTTGCCTTTTCTAGTTGCAAAACAAAATAGCTTAGCTGCAACTTCTGTAAATGGTAAGGCTGTGTTCAGTGAAGGGATTAGGTAGCAGCTAATTACCCATCTTCCTTATATCTGTTTACTCATGGAAGATTAGTGCCCTGTATGAGGAAGAAAGTTGAATCCTGAGAATGGGAAACAAAGGGAAGGAATATTCTTAGGGCAGGGCTATAGCCTGTTGCTGGAAGTGTCACACATCACTGACATAATCCATTGCTCTTTGAGTGGCTATTGGAATAAATGTCACTAATATTTCAGGCTCATGGGTCAAGGCATTGAGGTATCCGATTACTGACTGTTTTGATTTCTCTTTGAGATTAATTCATGAAGTCTTTGCTTCAAATTTTCTTTATTCCACAGAGCCTGTTGTCTCCAACAGCATTCAGTTATGCAAGTCAATACATTGCTCGATATGAGGCCCAGGGCATAGGTATGTTTATTGCAAAAAAACTGTGCTTTGAGCTGTCATGATTGTGACATTTCATTAACATGGTTCTGTTTGTCTGCATTTCTAATTTCCTTTCTGCAGGTCTGCAGTGGGACAACATGTATAAATCTCCAATGATTGGAGACAACACTTCCTTTGGCTGGATGTGCTGGCTTATCCTGATAGACTCTCTCATTTACTTCATTCTAGGATGGTATATAAGGAATGTTTTCCCAGGTAATGATGTGAAACTTCAAGGCTGCAATACTATTTCCTGGAGAAACCAGGAAAAGCAGTGGCTGGTGCTAGAATTAAAGCAATAAGACAATCAGCACACCCAAGGATGCCTCTGTTTCAGGATCAAAAAGGGGCTTGAGTTGGTGGGTCTGAGCATATTAATGAATCCTGTGATAGGACAGAGCAGAGGAGCATTAGGATTCTCCTGCTTATTACATGGGTAGCGGGGACCTCTGAGTAAGTGGAGACCAAGGGCAGAGGAGGATGTGTGCACTCTCTGGTTGGTGGAAAGGAGAACAGAGCCTGCTAGCCTGCTTTTGTCAGGCAAGTGATTTTGCGTTGTGTTACTTATATCATTTGACTTCAAAACGTAATTCCTGCCGTGGGCAAGAGACAGTACATTTGTCTTTTGCTTTTCTTCCCCACCTAATGAAGCAGTCCCCTGGCATGCAGAAATCTACCTAGTGGAAAATGTAAAGTACTCCAGCCCTCTGGCTATGAAGTTACTCAGAATAATATATTAGCAACTGCTTCCTACTATGTCAATCATGAGAATACTCTCTACCAAGTGTCCATAGTACATGAGCACATAAAGAGAGGAGAGAGTTCTCTGCTGCTTTTTTAGGCGTATCTCGACAGTGGTGCATCCTGTAGAAGCAGATACTTTAATATTTTTCCTCTTCTCAATGCAGGGAGATACGGTATGGCTGCTCCCTGGTATTTTCCATTGCTTCCATCTTACTGGATTGAATACAATGGTTATATCCCCTTCTGGAATGAGAAACGAAGAGCCTTTCTCTTCACCAAGCTGCTGTTGAGGAAAGAAGCCACCATCAGCAATAAGATATGTATGTGAATGCTAGATGGGGTAATGATGCTAACTTATGTCTTAGGTAAATGAAGCCAAATGTGCAAAGGGCACCATTTTCTATGTAGTCGTTAGTTCTGAAAACTAACAACTGAAAGCACATTTCTATGTTCATCCCTATTTTGTGGCACAGGAAAACTTTAAAGCTGTTACTTAGGTGAAAGACTTGCTATTTGTTTTGGAATTCTAAATTAGTATTTGTTCGTGTATTTCTTTATGTGTAGGCTATAGGTGGGCATACAGCTTGGATACAGCTATCTCAAACTGCAGCACTCTATGTAGAAATACACTTTTATTTGTACAAGCAAATACAGGTTTCCAGTTGGGAAAAGAGATGTGTGCTTCTGTTTTTCTCTCTTAAATTTTTAACCTGTAAAATATTGTCGGACCACACGTAATTGCTTGCTGATGCTGCCTAACATAAAATATCTCAGTAGCTTTGCTCTCTGCCCTCTGCTTTTCTTGGCTTAGCATAGATTAAGTTAGGTGCCCTGAAACATTTAAATACAAGACCTTTCTGAAAGTGATTAATGTTTATTGTCAGGAGTTATTAGAAGTTGCAAGAGTGAAAAGGAGAAATCCTGGAGAGCACAGTTCCTTCAAAATGTTCTCTGCATTCCCAGTCAAAAGACACTTAGTTTTGCTACATTTATTTTTTTAAAAAGCCCTGATTGTCTCTGAGATGAAAGAAAGCAGCACAAATATCTGTCCTCTGACCCTTCCTTTGGTGTTGCAGGTGCACCCCCTCCTCATTTGGAACCAGAGCCCACTGACCTCACCTTAGGAGTCTCCCTCAAGGGTATAACCAAGATCTATGGATCCAAAGCTGCGGTGGAGAACCTCAGCCTGAACTTCTATGAAGGGAACATCACTTCCCTGCTGGGACACAATGGAGCAGGGAAGACTACGACCATGTATGTCACCTTTAAAGCAGAGCTATTTTATTCTGTAGAGTGCAGTGAGTAGAGGAAAGAACAAGTGGGACCACACGGTGTTTTGAGGCTGAATAAGATGCTTTAGTAGACCTGAATTCTTTTGTAGTTTTATCTTGCTCTTTGACAACCTAAGCAGTACCTTCATCTGTTAGAGTTAAGGGTCCTATTTTTGCATAGGAATATGCTGCTTAGTCTGCAGGATTCCTGTAATGCACAGCAGAGCCGCTGTTACAGTGATGCTCTGGTGCCTGGGGTTAGGCTCATCAGCTGTCAGCAGCTTGTGCTCACACCAAAGTTGAGTGCTATTAGCAAAAAAAGCTTAGTAATGATATATTTAAGCTGTACGTATGTGTAGGCTGGAAGGTAGGGCAGTGGGTTAATCTGTTGGCCTTTCAGCGCTTCTAGCCTTGCCTTTTATGAGTTATTATTTAAACTGTTAGATCCCAGCACTAAAACAGGCCTGTACAACTTGATTTCCCCACTGATATATATGTACATATATATGCATCACTGTGAAAGCCACATTAAGCTGATAAGTAGAAGCCCCAGAAGAGCCAAAAACACTGATAGGTGAGTGCCCCATCTCAGCGAATAACAAATTCAGCTCATGCCCTCTTGGCGAAGTGTAGGCAAAGTCGCTATATAGAAGAGTATAATGGCCTCTAGAAACTTAGTGTAGACCTCAAATCCTGAGTAAGGTCACAAGTTACCTCTCCTTTTTAATGATGGCTAAAAGGCCCAGGAGAGAGAAAAGCTCTGGGAAGGTGAAGAGCAGTCTGAGATGCATTTTCTCTCTTTATTCCCAGCAGGACAGTGATAAAAATGACCTATATTGCGCAAGTAGTTATTCAGGGCAGAAGTTGTTTAACTCAGGTCTGTTAGGCATTCCTGTATAGGTAACTATTCGCGTGAACAAGATGGAAGTGCTGCCCTCTGTGAGGCATCTTGTCTGGGAATCCTCCCTCATTTCTTGCTATTAATGGCACTGAAATCAGGTTTCTGTGCTCTCATGTGGTCAGCAAGATGAGATGTGCTTATCAAGCTCTGATGCGGATAGCAATAAAAAGCAGCCTGGATACTGCAGCCAGACCTCAAAGAATGAAGAATAACTGCATTATATGAACTGCCAGTGATTAAATTGGAAGCCAAGGGGATTCGTGTGAGTTGAGTAGCACAGTAGTCTGATTTGGGAAGGGGGCAGATTCCCGCGGATGAAAGTACACGTTAAAAGTAACCAGAATTCAGTGTGCGAGCTCAGTATTTCCCGTCGCAGCCTCACAGAGGTGAAGGAGGAAGGATCCCTTTTGATGTTAGCCAGCCACCCCTCTGCCAAAGCACTGGCAAACACCAGGAGAAGCTGTATTCTGTAGTGTCTCTCTGTAAGGAGCATGATGGTGATGTAGGGAAGCCTTGGAAGTGGTGATGGGTGCAAGACCATGGAAAGATTTCTTGTGGCTTTCTCCTTTTTTATTTCCTTTTCTATTTATTTTCCCCTTTTAGATCTATTTTGACTGGGCTGTTCCCTACATCATCAGGTACTATTGTTGTCTATGGCAAAGACATCAAGACTGACCAGGAGGTTATCAGGAAGAACATGGGTGTGTGTATGCAGCACAACGTGCTGTTCAACTACCTCACCACAAAGGAGCACTTGCTGCTCTATGGGTACATCAAAGTTCCTCACTGGAGTAAAGAGGACCTCTACCAAGAAGTGAACAGGTATAAAAACAGCAGAGCTGGAGAAGGGAGAGGGCTGCCAAAATCACTTATTATGTGATGGTGTCATTGCCACTGCAAAGTTCGGGTGCATGATTTTGAGCTCTGCTAAGCGCTCATCTTAGAGTCCAAATAAGGCCTGACTAGGGGAATATATTGAGTGTTGACATCTGTGGCTATAAGAAAACAAGGTCTCTTCTCCAGGGGGTTTACAAGCTTCTGTGGCAATTCTTAGGAGATGAATTACAGGTCTGGTCCTTGATTCTTTACAGTTTTCCCCAGAAAGAGATTTAATCAACGAGTCAGAAAGATGATGCCAGTTTTATTGGTTCTGCAAGGAAGTGACGCAGCCAGACCATCCCAGGGAATTTGGATTTGATGTTCTCAGTTCATGAGGTTAAGCCTTTAACCTTGGCTTGTCAGAAAACACTCTAAAAATGTTAAAATTAAAATCCCAGTGGCTGAGCTGCAGGGTGAATCATCTCTTAGCACTGTGACCATTCAGCAGGGCAGTGCACATCTGAGCAGTTTTTCATCTGCTGTTACGTTGTTTGCTGTTTTCAGGTTCCCTGCTTTTAAAATATTCTTGAACTGCAACCTTTGGGGATTGTTTTTCCTTTGTTTTCAAGGACTTTGAAGGAGACTGGACTGTATGGCCATCGTCATAAGCTAACTGGTTCCCTGTCCGGGGGAATGAAGAGGAAGTTGTCTATAGCTATTGCTCTCCTGGGTGGATCAAGGGTGGTGATACTGGATGAACCAACCACAGGGGTGGATCCATGCTCTCGGAGGAGTATTTGGGAAATTATCTCCAAGAATAAAAAAGGTACTGTGATGGGGCAAGATGCCACCCAGTGGCAAAGGCGATATGTGCCACTTGGGAAAATAAGATTTCAGTGTCTTTGAACTCTGGGTTTTGGAGACCATGGAGAGCTAACTGTGGGGACTGGGACTTTGCAGATTGCTCTGAGAGAATCCTGGGTTCTTGTAAATTCAGAGTGTCGCTGGAAAAGTAACCTTGCCCTAATAGGCAGATTATGTTATTCTGACATAGTTTCCCTGTGGTTGCTCTTTGTCCAGTTTTATTAATAATTCCAAAAGAGTGCTGTGTATTTTCACCTGATACTGTGTCCTCTAATGCAGTGCAGCTTTCATCTGTCTCCTCATGTGTGTTTATTCTGCACTGGCAAACACTGGCTCTCTGTTTTCTAGGCAGAACCATTATTCTCTCAACGCATCATTTGGATGAAGCAGAAGTACTGAGTGACCGAATTGCCTTCCTAGAGCATGGGGGACTCAAATGCTGTGGGTCGCCGTTCTATCTCAAGGAAACATTTGGCGATGGGTACCACCTGACTCTCACCAAAAAGAAGGTTTGTGCATGGTATTTGTAAGAAGGTATGAAGATTTATGTAGAGTTCACCTTAAATTTCCAGACTCATATGAAGAAAAGTGTTTCTTTTTATGATAAACATCTTGGGTGGGATATCTAGTCAGTTATGTGACAGGAGGTAAAGAGACAAGTCATAGTGTCCCCCAGCAATAAAGCATGTTGCAGAAGGTTCATCTCAGTCTTCTCTCAATGTTTTCATTGTGGCATGGGTATTCCAGTAGAGTCTCCCTAAACTTTCTGGAGGATGATGCAGAGCCCTGGTCCTGAGCCTGAGTGTGTCAGGTGAGGCCTTTTCATCTTCTCTTCCCTGCTGGGCCATCACTCCCTTTTGGTGCCCTGTAAGTCTGACTGACACAGCAGGTCCTGTTGGTGGCAGGGACAGAGATTTGCCTGGTTTGTGGATCCACTTTGTGCCCAGCCAGAGCCCTTGGCTGCACTGATGAACAAGCTGCCACTTCGTGCTGTGAGTGGGAGCTGAACGACAGGTCAGCGGGTTGTGTTAGATGCAGGGAGACACCAAAGAACTAAGGAAGGTCTGGATGTGTGAACACCCTTCTCAGAGAGGTGCTACCCAGCCTGTCACCCCCATTTCCCCTCAGAGCAGAGAAAGGCTGCAGGAAACTCTACTCTTATTATTAAGGTATCATTCGTAGACCCAGCATGTATTCTTCTGTGCAGATACGGAGAGAAATCACCTTCTCTTCCAAACTGCTAGCAAGATGGATAGAGAAAATTAAAAAGGACCCATGTGCAAGCCCCATTTTTAATGCAGAAAAAGAAGAGTGTGCTTGTGCTGGCAGCCCAGTGCAGATATCATAGCAAGGCTTTTTCTCTGTCTTACTATGAACCATCCAGCATGTGCAAAGAGGTTAATTCAGCCCAATTCCAGCTCATCTGTGGACAGAGGGAGCCCAGCCAGGAACATGCAAGTCTGGATGGGCCTCAGCTGCACACAGCATGGCTCCCCAAAGTACCCAGAACTCAGCTCTAGCAGTGGGGATCCTGAGAAAATCGACACCACAGCTTGGCGTTAAACTTCCCATGTCTCCTTCGAGGGCCACAAACCCAGTTTTAGCTCTTTAATGTTTGAACTGAGATCACATGGTTTTACTGTGAGACAGGATTTCAGTTGAGCCCTGCAGTTGCAGGCTCAATCTCTGAGCCCTCTTGATGACCATAGTGTGTTTCTCATTTTCAGAACATGATAGAGGAGTGTGATACAGCAGCAGTGACTTCCCTGATCCAGTCACACCTCCCTGAGGCCTATCTCAAGGAGGATATTGGTGGAGAGCTTGTGTACGTGCTTCCACCCTTCAAGTCGGCAGTCTCTGGGGCCTACCAGGCACTTCTCAGAGCTCTTGATACCAGTCTGAATGATCTTCACCTTGGTTGCTATGGGATTTCAAACACAACTGTGGAAGAGGTAAGAGCTCAGGATCCATTCAGTTTAATGAAACATTGCAGAGATTAAAGGAATACTAGTCCAAAGGACTCCATTTACTGAAATGATGATCAGAATTCACTCTCCTCCACATTGCAGCTCTGTAGTCTTCCTTCTTGTTTTCTTGCTCCGTAGGTGTTTCTCAATCTGACAAAAGAGCTAGGGAAGGACCAGCAAGCAGATGCTGAACTGCCCCAACATCTGCCTGGATCCAGTGGCCAAATGGGCAGTGATGAAATGTCTGTGAGCACAGATACCTTCACGGAAAGAGACGGTACTAATTTACCTCCAGGTTTTATTCCAGATTTAACCAAGATGCAAACAGTGATAAATTTACTGATATGGGCTCCATTGTCCTCTTTCTTTGCTGCAGACTAAGTATTACCCAACCAGAAATCATGAAACAATAACTCAATGAAAGTACAGTGCTCAACAGTTGTTTAGATCCACTGGTTTGAGTAGTCTGAGTCACAGAATAAATTATAGAGGGATTTGGTTTGTATCCACCTTCCTTTAAATTGATTCAGGTTTTAATCTAATCAAATACAGTGTGTGGGTGAAAAAGCAGATGTATACCTCTGCAATTAATTGCTGTAATTGATGTAGAGGACTAATTCCTTACAATTAACACTATTTGAGAGAAACTTCATGGAATCTCTGTAATCTGCTGCAGAGGCAGCAGAGCTCACAGCTGGGTCTGCTTTCGTGCTTTTTGCTTTGTCAACAGCTCAAAGGGCCAGACAGCAGGGTGAGATCGGGTTCAGATGAATGTCAAGCTTTACTGGTGTCTCTGAGGGCTGCAGAAGGAAGCACTGCCTAAAAATTAGTAAATAGCTGGTTGCATCTCCTTTCTCACAGAGTAGAAACATATTTTTGCCTATGAATATATCATTTATAGATAGGGAAACAGCCAAGGGACAACGCAGAGGTATTTTCAGGCTCACTTCTCAGAGCTGACCTGCACTTTAAGTGTGCAGCACCATAAACAGTAATTCAGATGTGTAGAGAAGTGTTTTATGTCTCCCCTAATGAGAGCACTGAGGATGATTTGCTTCGTGTTGTATTACATAGATGAATATTTCATAAAGATGAATGTGTTGCACAGGGTTTGGCTTTGTTTTTAGTATGCCACAACCTTGTCCATGCAAATGATCGATTAGTTTGTGTGCCTTGTTTGCTTGTTTCAAAATGAATTCTGTTATTGATTTGTTTCTGAGGACCTGCTTTCTAAATGATGAGAATTTTCAGTTTGCTAATATAAAAGAATAATATGTTTCCCTGGCAAGCTACAGCTGGGTAGGTAGGAGGTAGATGACTTGTTGCATCTGGAAGACTGTTTTTCTCTTGCAAGATGTCAGAATGTATAAGCAACACACACTTACTAGAAATCATGCAGAAAATCAGTGTTACTTGGACACATGACTCCCAAGCCAAAACCTGAGTTCTCTCCTAGCTCTGATACTGTTTCATGCTTGCATGTGTTCCAACCTTGTAGTTTTGATTTTCCATCTGTAAAGGAGAGCAGGAGGCTAAACTTAGCTATACAGGGGTCCTATAATCTTTGATTCCCTATATTTCACATGTACTGATCCTTGACAAAATGCATTTTTCTTCTGTACCCAGATCAGCTCCTGATCAGATCCAAAAGCCTCAAGGGTTTGCCCTTGCTGCTTAAGAAGACCTCAGCTCTGTTCATTAAGAGATTCCACCACACCCGCCGGGATGTCAGAGGCTTCATTGCTCAGGTCATCCTCCCGGTCCTCTTTGTGACGGCTGCGATGGGACTCGGAACGCTGAGAACTAAAGAGACGGAATATCCAGAACTGATTCTTTCCCCCTCCTTGTATGGCACAGCTGACCAGGCAGACTTTTTTGGGTGAGTGGTATTCCTTTTAGTCATTGCACCTGTTGGTTTGTAAAGAGACAGTTCTACAATCAGGCTTATTTTTTAAGCAGATTAGTGGTTTTAATCATGCAGATAACCATGTAATGATAAAATTTTCCTCCTGATGAGTCTCTTGGGAAGATGGCTTTGCTCAGCCCAGCAAGCAGAGAGCTCTAGAAAGAAAACCTGTCAGTTGGAATGAACTATGAAATATGTTAGAAATGCTGTTTGCTTTTGGAGACCTCTGGCCTTGTGACAGCCATTTTTCCCCAAAACGATTTCTTTAAAAAATAAGAAACCTTCCCTTTAATTAGAAATGTGAGCATCCACATCAGTTGGCTCCAAAATTAAAGTCTGGAGTCCAAGTCTGCCCTGTGAACTGTCTGCATCACCCTCCTTTCTGTCAAGAAAGGATAATTCCTTTAGGAACAGTCAGTACTCTCCTGCCCAGATTTTGCTTGTCCAGGGCACATAGTCATTTGAAGGGCTTGCAATTTTCAGTGTCACTTCATTGCCACTGAATGATTTCACCGTGTTTTAAAAAAAACAAACAAAAAACAGTGTAATTCATCATTCTGATTTCATGGTCTGAAATCCTGTTGTTCTCTAGTAATTCTCCGCTTTAGGTCGCAAGTAGCTCAGACATCATTACAGATCACACGTGTCCACTTTAAGGTGTTTTTTCCCAGCACTGCTTCTGTAAGGTTAGGTGGGAGAAGGAACCAGACCCACTTGTCTCCGAGTTCTCTATTCCTGATGTTCTCTATTTTTCCTTATGGATGATTGCCAGAGAGCTGGATCAGAAGGGAGAAGTACCTTTCTGAATGACCTGCAACTCATCCACATAGTCCTGAAAATTGCAGTAGATTGCTGACTGTGAGAACAAAATTTTGATTGTCCCCAAGTGCATCAAGAACTTATTTAGCTCTGGAGGCAGCAAAGTGCTGGAGTTGGTGTGCAGCTCTAAGCAGAGAGAGTCCTCCTAAAGCTGTGTGACTACCCTAATATGTTGCATGTACTTAAATTGCTTGCAGCATCTGTACCTAACATAATAATTTATTTAGCCTCATAAACAAATCCTGTTTTATTCAGGCACAGCTTTCCTCTGGTAGTAGAAGTATTTTGACCATTTATCTCTTTCTCTCTCTCTCTCTTTTTTTTTTTGTTGTTTTCTTTTCTTTTGTTAAATCTTAGGAATTTTAATGAAACCACAGATGCTTTAGTTGCTTCAATGCTTTCTTTCCCTGGAACAGATAACACATGCATGAATGAAAGCGACTCGTAAGTAGTTCTTGATCTTCTGTTTAAATTCCTGATCTGCGAGAGGAGCTGCCCTAACATTAATAGCCATCAGACCTTATTAACGATCTTTAATCACCTACAGATTTTTTCATGTGTTGGTGACGGTCTTCATGGCTCCCTGTGTAACTTACAGTGAAGGCTCATATCTACCGGCATGACACTGAGTATCTTTGAAGACAGAAAACTGTGCTGTTTTTTATGGCAGAAGTAGGGATTTCCCCAATCCCTGCTCTTTGAAACCAGTGAGCTTGCTTGCCTGCAGAAGTATTCACCATTCAAGTGGACTCCTTGGAGTAAAGGAGTAGCTTTGGTAGTGACAGGATGCCAGGACCAGAGCAGGCTATCCTCATACGCAGTCCGTCCCTTGCCAATAATCCCATGTATAGCGCTGAACACACCCAGGAAGTTTTCAGCATAGCTGTTTGTATCTAAAAACTCTGCCATAAAAGCTGGCCTGTCCAGAGCTCTGCAGATTTTCAAGAAATCAGTAGTAAACTCTGAGCAGACTCGCACACAAATATTTCTACTGACTAGGCGCCATTACAGGACTCGCCAATTACTGCAGTAAGAGTAGCTGCTAATTTTGAACTGTAAGATGATCTTGGCCTTTGCCTGCTGACTCCCTCTGCTCTCTGCTGTGGGAGTCTGGCAGTGTCTTGGTTCTTGCGGATCAGCTGAACAAATCCAGGCACAGAG